CCGAGCCTCCAGCAGCCGCTCAAGCAATTCAGGCAAAATGCCTTTGGGCGATTTTCTAAACATATGATATTTGTCTCCAACTTTTACATTGTGGTATTGGTCCTCATGGGTATCTGACGTTTTTACGTATGATGACGGGCATATATTATTTACAATTAATACAGAAGGATATAAGGATTGGTAATCTAGGATAACACAGTCAGAGTACACACCTGGTTCGGGGTCGAATACTGTTGCACCCTCATATGACTCGGTCCAGGATGGAAAGTTTGTAGACTCAAGTACGAACCCACGTCGCACACACTCAAAAATCAGGTTGTGATTTACCTTAAACTGTTCTCCCCTAGTTAAAATGTCTTCAGGCTTGCACCGCAGAATTCTAGCACGCTCCATAAGGTCTACTAGGATGTCGAAACGTTCGATCAGCCGCAGTACCAAATATGCATCCTGGGCACAGTACTCCTTAATCTTTTCGGTGTCGCCTTCTTTCCACATCTTCATCATATCTTTGTAATCCAAATCATTTTTAGTTTCTCCAAGGAATGTTTGAGATACATATTGTAATGAGTGTCGATCGATGTTCATTCGTTTGAAATACTGAAACACATCAATCACAGTCCGCCCGGGGATTTGCGGCTTAATAAATTTGTTGCTGCCGTAGCTCGCGTTCTGCCACGAGAATTCTTCAAATACAACAGGTAAACACGGTATGCGGCTCATATTAGGAATATTCAAAAGATGCAGCTGCATCCGTTCATAAATGTACTTGAAGTCGAAGTTGAATATGTTATATCCGACGATGATATCAGGATCTTCTTGAATTACGCGTTTTGCAAAATCAGTAATGCATGTTTTTTCATCTTCACAAATAACGTCTTTGTCGTCTTTATAGTTGTATGTTATGCCTATCATAAAAATAACATCATCGTGTCTATACGATTTTGGCATGCCTAGGTGGTCGGTATAGACTTCAATGTCAAAGGAAAGTACTTTAAAATGAGGGACTGTTTCTCTAGCAGATTTCTTAATTTGTGTGTAATGAATGTATGATGCGTCGGG